CACGCCGATGCGGGCTGTGGAGATGCCTAGACACAGCAACCCAGGACGTCCCCACGCCGATGCGGGCTGTGGAGATGCCTAGACACAGCAACCCAGGACGTCCCCACGCCAATGCAGGCTGTGGAGATGCCTAGACACAGCAACCCAGGATGTCCGCACGCCGATGCGGGCTGTGGAGATGCCTAGACATTACCCTGCTCAGGAGGGGACCACAGCGAGGTGGAGTTGGTCAGAGGGACTAGAACAAAAGGAGGGAGTCTTGAGCCGCTTGGCCAGAGACACAGCAGGAACCAGAGAGGTGGGGGCCTTTTGGAGAAAGTGGTGTCTCTGAGGAACTGGGAGGGTGAACACATGGGTAGGGCTGTCAGTGCTAGAGGTAGGAACACAAGCTTTGGAGTTGAGCCACAGAGACTCTTAGGGCAGGAGATAGGAGAACCTCAGATATGCAAGGATTTATGGGGAAAAGAGGAGGGGCTAGGGTAGTTCAATAGCTCGGAGAGATAAAATAGCCCCCATCAAGAAAGACTCCTGAAAATGTAAGGGACCCAAGAAAGAACAGCACTAAATACCTATGGTAGAAAGTAGAGGACATGACCTTCAGGCAGCATGGAGGGCAAAGGTCACTACTAGCTGTCTTTATCTTTTTTTTAATGATTTATTTTTATTTTATGTGCATCGGTGTTTTGCCTATATGTGTATCTGTGTGAGGTTGTCAGATCCCCTGGAATTGGAGTTACAGACATAGAGTGCAGCCATGTGGGTCCTGGGAATTGAACCAGGTTCTCTGAAAGAGCGGCCAGTGCTCTTAACCACTGAACTATCTGTCCAGCCCCAACAATGAGCTGCCTTCTCCTCCACTCCAGTGCCTCATTTAATCCAGCACCCCCTTAGGCAGAGGTGCCAAAGAAGATAGAACGGGGAAGTCACTCGGCCATTGCTTGGACACGAGGACAAAGCTGGCATCTGCCTGCTTTACCAAGACCCAAGCACAGTGCCACATGAAGCTTTAGTAAATATCACAGCATATGTTCAATAAATGTGCTCCACTGCTGGCTGGTTCTACTCTGCGTGTGGTAAAGCTCATGTAGGAAAAACCCGCCAACATCAGGCAAGTGTGTCTGCCCACTCAACTTGATTCTCTCCCCTGCTCTGTTCCTTTACCCCTGAGCAGCACAGAGAGTTGGGAAAGCGCCCAGCAATGACCCTGTGAGTGTTGCGGTCGCTCAGGACAGCCTTCCTCAAGGTAGGAAGGGATGCACAGGGCCATGAGTCAGGGAGGATCGGGAAACAGACATCCTCTCCTGAACCCGTGGCTCTGCAGACTCCCAGTCTTGAGGGTCTGCCCCAGCACTCTGCTCTCAGAGGCGTGTATAGACTTGAGTTAACCTAGGTCTGATGCCCACTCTGGTCCCTGATCATATACAGGCTTGTGTATGTGGGAGGTGACAGGCGCTGGCTCCAGAGCCAGACTATAAGCTGATAACGTTCAGTAGGTGTGTGGCCCTGAATGAGCTTCATCCCCTGTGCCGGCTTCTTTGCCTAGAAGGGGGATGGGTAGAGCCGCACTGAGAGCTGTACGTGAGCAGAAAGCACTCAGACAGCGCTGGTGCTGCTGTCTGCAGGAGGGCATCATAAGGCAAGCCACTGGCTAAGCTTCTAGAAGGAGGAGCAATTCTTGGGAAGTGATGACCGGTGGCTGCCTCATGTCCTAGACAGATTGGTGGATATGAACTGGCGCTGTCCTTTCATCCGGACATGTGCCCGGAGAACCGTGTCTGCACAAGGTCTAAGCCAGGCATAGTCAGAGAACAGTGTGGCAGGGTCTGTCCCTGGAGATGCTCCTGACAACATAGGGTAATAAGAAAACGGAAAAGGGCGTGTGGGTTATATGAACCTTCCCCTGAGACAAGGGTTGGGGTGCCCATCACTGAGGCCTCAGCACGAGTCCCTTCCTTTGAACTGTCCTATCCAAAGCCCCCCTCAGAGCTGCTCTCACTTTGGGACTAGTGAAGCCTCTGCTGTGTCAGCCATGCAGCACCCCCTCCCTTGCCAGGCCAGGCCCGTGTCCTCTCATCAGCATTGGTGTCCAGGCCCTGCACCACTGTGGAACAAACAGTCCTGACCATGAGTAGTGTGGATTGTGTAGGAGACTCCAGGACTGTGCCAGCACCTAGTGGCGTCTCCCACTCAGAGATTAGAACCCTCCCATGGGGTCCCTAGTGCCAGCACAACATTGCCTTTCCTCTGCCCACACCCTCTTAGCCCTCCTCTGAGGATATTGGTGACACTGGGTTGCCCAGAAAATTCAGGACAATTCCTTATTTCAAGATCCTTCACTGAGTCAACTCTGCAAAGCCCATCTGCTGCACAAGGCTTGTAGGTTCTATGAGGGACTAGAAAAAACTACATGTCCTTATACTCAGGTAGTATCCTATTATCCCAGGACCCTCTTATCAGCATTCCTCTTTCCACAGACCCTGGCCTTTCTGGTAAGGAAAACACACCCGAGAGCCTTGTGAACGGCAGAGAGGAAAGTGAGCGCTCCAGGGCACAGGCTAGACAGAGGCACACAAGGACTCTGCGTGGCTGGAGTGTGGTGGGGACAGCAGAACACTCAGACTGCGACAACGTGGGACAAACAAGAGCCCAGAGGAGATGACAGGCTCAGGCTACTGTTTAGAATGGACGGAGAAAAGCCAGGGCAGTTTCTGGAGACTCCCATGAGATGGGAAGACACAAAGGTCAGCTTCAGACAGTGGTAAGGGTGAGGCCAGCTGCGGTCAGCTGGTAACTTCAGCCTCAAGACTACATTCTGGCAGGACAAAACCAGTCCAGCTGTGCCCTCACGGCATAGGCAAAGGCCCTACCGTACTCCCTGGGCACCTGCATACAGACCTAGTCCCACCAGGCAAGCCCTTCCGGCTCCAAAACACAAGGATTGAGAATCCCACAGGCAGGGAACAGAAGTGCCAGAGAAGACATACCCAAGGCCAGGGTGCCAGGACAGCAACAGACACCTGAGGCAGCCCCCCTGAGATGAAATAGGGCACCCTCATCCCTTTGACACCCCTAACAAATCCTTTACATCAGAATAGAACTCAATTTTGATCCAAGAAATAAAATAAAATAAAATTCTATCAACCCCAGGGCCATCTGGCATCATGCACAGGAAATCCAACCAGCGTCTGACAGGAACAGAACTCACGTATGGGGTAAAAACAAGAGTTCTTGCCAAGCAGAAAGAGCACCATTGCTGTGATGTATTTACTAGGACAGGAGTCACTGGATGTGTCCCTTGTCGCCGTGAAGGTGATGCTCAGGTTGCCATACGGTCCCTCCGTTAGCATCACTCCTGTCTCTGGAGAAGGGAACTGAGGCTCAGTCAGCCTCCACTGCAGGTCAGCTAGGGGCAAGCCTTATCCCTTCTCCATCTCCCCGCTCTCGGCAGGCAGGATGGGCGTCACGCCAACTGCCTGGGCATGTGCTGGTGGCCTAGCCAGAGGCCATCCCATCACGTCCTGTGTTGAGTCCCAAGTCTATCAGAGAACAAGGGGAGTTTCCCAGAAGTCAGCACCCTTCCCTCTGGCAGCTCTGAAGCTCTTCGCTTCCCCTGTCGGGGTACCTAGGTGGTTCTGAGTCAGTTCTAGGTAAGAGGCAGGATAATGACTATCTGATGGTGAGTCTCAGAAAAATCATCCACTCTAAAAACAGAGAAGAAGAGACAGAGAGAGCATTCTCAGGACACAGCTGTGTAGGAGCAATGGGTACAGTTACCTGGTCATGCAGCCCAAAGCATTCCTAACACATTCCACCCTTCAGAACCATGGTGGATCCTCCACCCCCCTCTACCCTGGCAGCTTCTGGTCCCTCTGCTGCTCTAAGCTCGCCTCCTTAAAGACCAATCTTCAGGCTCTACAGTCGGTGAATGGTTTTCGCCTCCTTCCTCTTTAACTTCAAAAGATTCCATGGGAAACTTCTTCCCACAGGATGGCAACACACACCTATTACCTT